CTATACAATATTTATTCTAAATTTCAAATTTTCAAAGACTAAGCTACTTCATTCTATAGACACTTAATATTAAAAGATAAGGATGAATTAATGATTATAAAATAATAAATATAGTTAATAAACATATAGAAACATAACCAATCTCACCAATAAGGAAGTAAAATGCAAATTTAAACAAGCTACATTTGTTCACCCATTAAATCGACAAATACTGTTTCACAGATAATATCAAACCACCGTTAATGAGAATGCAGTCAAACAGACACACTTAGACGTTGCCAGGAGGTGAGTAAATGGGTATGTCCTTCTGAGGGACAATTTGACAATATGTTTAAGCATGTTTAGCTATGTATGTCTTTATAAATACATCCCAAGCAATAGTCATCAGCCATTTGGTTCAAGAATTATGTACAAGGGTATTCAATGAGCATTGTTTATTGTAGTGAAACATTGGGAACACCCTTATGTCCAACATACAGGAAGAGTGAATAAATTGTGGTTTCTCCTTATAATGAAATATGATTATGCATCCATTAAAAATTGTGTTTTGAACAATGGGGAAGTGCTAATTAAAACCACAACGATACACCACTTTAAACCCATCAGACTGATAAAATTTAAAAGTCTGACAGCCTTGTGTGCTAACGAGGATCTGAAGCGATGTAATTCTACGCACTTCTCTTGAAAACAAAACTGTTAAAGCCGTTTTGGAGATCAATTTAGCAATATCTAGTTAGGGAGAAGTTGTACAAGCCCAACAGTTCTACTCCAGGTATATTCTCTCAGAGAAACCACCGCGCATGTGAAAAAGATGACATGTCCAGGAATATTCATAGCAAGGGTGTGTGCAACAGAAAAAATACTTACGTGTCCATTCGCAGAGTCATGGATACATTGTAGGACATTCAGAAAACATCATGCCATATCGCAGTGGAAATGAATGGCCTAGACTGATACATGTCAACGTGGATGAATCTCCCAAAACAAAATAGCTGAAGAAAAAAAAGATTTATATTATATACCATATATAAAATAGTAAGTTTTAAAGTGTGGAAAACAATATTGTATCTTGCTTAAGAATTTAAGTATCTGACAGATAGAGATGAAGAAATGTTTAGGACCAGTAATCACCAAAATCTAAAAGCAGGTTGGGTCTTGGTGGGGAAGAGAGATGAGATCTGGAACGTGCACAGGGGTCTTCAGCGGTGTTAGAATATTTTACTTCTATGGCTTGAGTCGGCTACACGAGTGTTCATTCTACCTTTCTGTAAATGTTAAAAATGCATAGTTTTTTTCAAGAATGTGTGATGATATGAGAAGACACAATAAAATATCACCTAAAAAAAACATAAGAAGAAATTTGATAAAATCTCTTATGTGTGAATGTGTGATATATATATATATGAATATATAGATACATATAAAGTATATATATTTCTGTGTGTATATTTATATATGTGTTCACCATTCCTCTGTCAGTTTGTCGTACTGTGGTGGCTTTCATGTTGCTGTGATGCTGGTAGCTATGCCATCAGTATTTCAAATACCAGCAGGGTTACCCCTGGTGGACAGGTTTCAGTGAAGCTTCCAGACTAAGACAGACTGAGAAGAAGAACCTGGTGATCTACTTCTGAAAAAATGGGCCACTGAAAACCTTATGGGTAGTAGCAGAACATTGTATGATAATAGTGCCAGAAGGTGAGCCCTTCAGGTTGGAAGGCACACAAAATGCGACTCCTTAAAGTAGAGTCTACCTTAATGACGTGGATGGAGTAAACTTTTTGGGGCCTTCATTTGCTAATAAGGCATGACTAAAAATGAGAAGAAACACACAGCTGCAAACAGCCGTTAATAATCAGAATGTGGAATGCACAAAGTATGAATCAAGGAAAATTTAAAGTTGTCAAAAATGAATGGAATATTTGAAGGCATCGTTGTTGTTGTTAGGTACCATCGAGTCGGTTCCAACTCATAGCGACCCCATGCACAACAGAAGGAAACACTGCCTGGTCCTGCG